AACTTCTCAAATATTATAACCATAGGATGTAGCTAATTCCCTATAAAATGCACAAAGGATTAAATTATGAATGAAAAGACAAATGTCTTACACAAGAAGGAAAATACCGAAGGCATTATGAACCATTCAGGTGTTTATGATTGATTCCACCGGGGATGGATTCAGTGAACTGTCTGATGTTTCAAAGTACTTCCCGAAAGATAGAAAACTTCACACTCACTTGTTTTGGGTTTTACATTAGGAAATTTAATGCATTATACTTAAGGAACCTAAAGCCAAAATAGATAACCAAATGAGGATTTATTACTTCCTGTTTACTAATAAAACTTCTGCTGCCATTTCATCTGTGCAGTTTTTTTACTCTTGATGGCTACAGGTGAAAAGAGGATACTTCTAGAGTGTAGTAACCTAGATATTTGTAATACTGACAGAAACATATTTTTCTGATTTACACAACTAAGATCATGAACATCTTAATATGAAGATGAAAAATTAATAATCCTTTTCCATTAGCGTCATGCACCTGATCACCTGTACTTTTTTGCATTACAGCATTTCTCATCAATGTTCCCCTTGATATCATTCGTTCTGAAAAATAATCTATAATCTGAAACAAGGGCAAAAGGAAATATATTCACTATGTTGAATAAGGAAAACAAAAACATAACTTTACTGATAATAGTTCTATTCTTAGTGTCACAATCCAGTACAAGAAGAACTCAAACTTCAGAAAAGAGTAATGAGCTTTGACCTCCTCACAAAGTGGTTCCAGTCCTAGACTTTCCTCTGTGATTTCCCTTTTTTTCTTAAGTTTTGAAGTTTCAGGTGGCAACCTGTTTCCTACAAAGGCCTGCAAGAAAAGGGTGACCATCAGCCAAGTGACTCTCTTTCATTATTTTTTAATAAAATATTATAATGTGATGGCAATGTAGTATAAATGAAGCTTGGAAGAGAAGCAAGCATACCCTCGTGCTACCTGTCCACCCACATTTTCCACGAAAGCAACACCAAATAGCACGATCCCTAAAACATCATAAATTTCAATGTAAAGTGTGACTTATAATCTGTTAATAAATAATCAGAAAAACTTGTAAAACACTAGGAAAAGCATACCAATTTTCCGAAATATCCATGGATAAGCTCTTTTCCTCTGAATCGCCACCTTTGCACTAGCATATGAGAAGTCATTTCAATTTCAGTCACATATAATTCCTTCTTTTACTCATTTAAAAGAAAACCATGCATGCACGGTTTAAGGCAGTCTCATTACATCATGGCCACTCAATCCCCTGAGTTTCTATCGTTTAATTGCTAAAACATAGGAAATTTTCCGCTATCAGCTTAATCTCCTTCAATGAAATTTTCCATCTTTTTGGCATGATTCGCTCTTAAATGCGTCTCCAGCCCTTAGATGGAGAAATGTCATCAGAGATTCTCTTTGATGTTCTCAAAAGTCATTGTTATTTTCTGACACAATAATTTTCTTGAGCAAGACACATCGTCAAGAAAGTAATTATTTTGGGCAATAGATAATGCCAACTACTGTCAATAACTACCATGAATCCCTCATGTCTCTTTCAGGTCGAGTCTGCTCATACTAACACTATTGATTAAAAACAATACTGATAACTTAATTTATTACTGTATACAATATCGTTTACCAGCTTATTATCCATAGGAAAATGCTTATTTTTTCTCCTAAAACTAGTTTCTAAACCTAAAATAACGAACAAAAATGGGACAGGCGCGTAGGTTTTGACAATTACCACCTACAGATTCAGTAATTTATAAAATCCTAAACAAACAAAGTCAAAAAATATTTGCTGAAACTGAAACAAATACAACATAGCGGCAGAAGCAAAACTATTAGCATACCATTGGGCAAATCAAGTGGTTGTACTGCCCTGGTACAGATATTGTTTCACCGTCTATGCCAAGATTCTCCAATTTCTCCTTCAAGATCCTCATTTGCATAGAGGACATTCCATTTTCTTTTGGGGTTTCCACTTCAACTACATAGAATTCAAAAGCATACAGCACATTAAATTCAAAACATTCTCATAATCCTTCACACACACAAAAAGGGTCCACCTGTAAACACCATAGAAAAGAAAAATTAACAAAACAAAAGTTTATTCGAAAAAACACCCCGACAACTAAAATTTTATAGAAAAACACTTCTAGCAACTCAAATGGAGAAAAGAAAAACACCCTTATCTATCCGCTTGTCATGATCTAACTGATTCTCAGTGGTGAAATTCTTTGGTGCTATAAAGTAAGTTGGATTTTTCTCTAAAGTACTAACTTTGAAGTGTTTTCCTTCTAATATGCGATGTTATCAAGGACTTACATGCAAAAAGCCAAAAAATTAAAGCAGAAAAGTGCCTACCTTCTTTACTGAGCACGAATTTACGCAGAAACTTACCTGGTTCTGCGACATGGGCAGGGGAGAGAGAAGAATATCCGTTAGTCCGGAGGCAAAGCGGCCGAATTTTCAACACGGGTTTCGAGGAAATCGGAGAGAAGACGAGGCTGCGAGAGTGGAAGGGGTGTCTGTGTGCGGAAGGGGTCAGTGGGTTTGGAAAAGGAGCGGACTTGAGCAGCTGCTTGGAGGCCATTAGGAGGCCGGAGGTTGAGGAGGATAAGAAGGAGAGCTTGCGGAAAGGCCGATGGAGAAGAAGACGCATGTCTCCGGGAACTGGGTTCCGAGTCTTGTTTGTGGGGTTTCAACTCGGCTGGGTTTCCATGGCGGAAAGAAGAGGAGGGAAGCGGGTAAGGTTTTCGACACTTGGGTCACAACACAGAAGGGTTTTAGAGGTCTCGGTCGGGTTCTCTTCTTAAATCTCTACCATGACCCGGACCCAAATGCCTACCCGTATCCGACCCATGTCAAATGACCGGACCGGCCCACCCAAGAGCGTCGCGGCCTTTCTTTCTTTTCGTTTGGTCATTCATGTATGTAAAACAAATTGACGATTCATGAAAACACTTATAGTTCGGTCACTAATTTGTAAATGAAATAAAAAGTTTAATTTCTTATTTAGCTCTGTTTTGATTCCTCCAACTCTATTGATTTTGATTAACATGTTATAAGTGTTCGACACGTTGTTTGTACCGTGAAAATTTACTAATCACAAATTAGTGGACAAGGAGGTGCGCCCTAGAGCGGATGCAAACATTATCCTAAATAAGAACATTTGGGCGTAGTCAGGTTGATTAAAAACAGTGTGTTCTTTCCTCTACATTCAAGTTCGAATCTCATATCTCATAATTTATATTAGATTAGATATTGCTCGAATTTAAAATGGAAATCAACAAAGGGGCAAATGGAAAAAACATATCCGTTATATGCATTTTAAACTTGAGCTGTAGTCCACATCACCAAATCCTGCTAGCAACTCATGGAACAGGTGCACTAGTTCACCATTCCTCCACTTAGCAAAGGTCAGTAGTTTAATTCTTAATCATACGAATTACTCGCATTGAAATACAACTGAAAATCTACACAAAGAAAACTCGATGATTATGTTGTGTTCCTGAGTTTAATATACTAGGCGTCGTATCAATTCATTTTCGTTCGAGTAATCGTGACTTAATGTCCCAAGTTTCAACTCTGCAAACATATCCAAAACGATTAAGTGCCAAACTTTTTTCCTTTGTATGCATAGCATGCGCTAACTTCAGTTTTCTTAATGAATTTCTAATACACCAGGTGAGGATATTTTGAACTGTTACTTAATACGAGCTTCTGCAGATATGCATACTCGGAGGAGACTGCGGATGACTTTGATGACGAGGGTATCTAGCTCATGGGAAGTGGAGTTAAGGTGGCCGGCGGAGACTTAGCAACCAGGCTAGAAGGAAAGGAAGGCATCGAGTGCAGGAGATCATCATGTGCTTGGGCTTGGGGATGTAGAGTAGAGGAGGACAAAAGAGAATAACGACCGGCTTTTCTTCCTATATTTCCATTTGAGTCTCTCTGGATATCAGCATTCATTTGCAGGAAGATATGTCTTTACCATACTATCAATATCTAGTAGAAAGCTTTGAGGCGTGAAGAAGAGGAGGAGGTGGGAGGGTTGTATAAGAAAAAGTAAATTAAACCTGAAAATTAGACAGAAATTAGGCTCTCATGTAATGGTGTGTGTACTTGCATGTAGCCAATGGCAGAATTTTCGATAATCTATACTGTATCTCTATATCTATCTTTCCTGTCATGTGATGAAAGACACGTCTCTTATAAAAGAGATGGATTGACGGAAATATACAACCGTCTACATCCTTCGTCTTTTTTTATTTTCGGTCTTGCGTTGTTTTTATTTTGGTCTTGCTTTTCTTTCTTGTTTTTTTTTTTTTTTTTTTTTTTTTTTTGAAAGCTTTTCTTTCTTGTTACTCAGGGGCGAAAGGATAAAAAGTCATGTAAAGTAAAAAAATAAAAAAATAAAAAAATAAAAGATTATATTCATACACTCCAAATTAATTTTTCCACATCTTTTTAATTTTTTAATATTTATACACACCACTAACATTTGATAAAAAATATTAAAAGAGTGGAATAAGTAATTTGAGGTATGAATATAATTTCTTTGAAAAAAAAAGGTCAAGTGGAGTAATTAAAGAAGTAAAAAGAGGGTGAGAATATAATCTCCCGCTAGAATTTCGAAGGAGATCTGAGGTACCGTTTGGTACGCAGACGGGACGGAACAAGATGGGACGGGACAGGACGGAACAGATGATGTAAATATTGAAAAAGATAAGGAGAAATTTTGTCATAAAATGTTATAAATTTGTGTTCCACATATGTGGAACGGGTCGTTTCAGGGGGAAGAAGTGGAACGAAAAATCAGCCAAATTTCGTCCCATGGGACAACCCGTTCCACAGTTTTTAGGCGCACCAAACATGGAACGGAACGGCTCGTCCCATTCCGTCCCGTCCCGTTCCACGTACCAAACGGTACCTGAACGAACACATTCGGACTTGACTCTTGTGTTGCCCTTAATTTCTCAGAAAGCATTTGAATGCATGATTAGAAGAATATTAAGACAATTACAAATGCCATGAGAACAAAAGCCAGCTGAAGAAAACACACAAGCTCACGGCATGCATTCAAGAAAAGAAAGCAATAGTGATGATTAGCTATCTGAATCATGTACCTCTCAATCTCAAACATATGGCCAACCCAAAACTAGTATATCTCGTCGTCAGGGACGTCTGGTGTCAAAAATTTTCTTGGATCTTTACTAATTTCCTCGTAACTCATTCGCGGCTTCACCTTGTCTGGGACAGGCACCAGAGGAATAATGCTATCTCCGTCAATTACTCCATCGATTATTCCATATTCAACTGCTTCTATGGGGGACATATACCGATCCCTGTCAATGTCCTTTTGGACTTGCACAAATGAGCGACCAGTGGAATTTGAAAGAATTTGTGTAACATTGTTTTTGTTATGCATCACTTCTCGGGCTTGAATTTCCACATCTATTGCCTGCCCACTAGCACCTCCAAGAGGTTGATGAATCATGATGCGTGTATTCGGCATTGCAAAACGCTTGCCTTTGGTTCCACCGCCAAGGATTATGGACGCTGTTGATGCTGCAATGCCCAGTGCCACTGTGGAGACATCAGCCCTCACGAGCTGAACAACGTCGTAGATAGCCATTGTAGCACTAACACAAATAACAAAAAGGAAAATCAGCAAGCAGATAACAAGACAGCAAAACCATACAAACATATACACAAGAATACATCAATGAAAAATAAGTTCAGTAATTGAGATTGTGAACAAAGTGATTGTGATTGTATCAACGAAACGTTAGATAAAAGTTGGAAGAATACATCAATGTGAACAAAGTGATTGAGATTGCACTCGATGGGACAATACATAAATGAAAAGTTAGTTTTTTTAATCGATAAACAAAACAGGCGAAAACCCATCTTTCTTGAAAAATGAAAGAAAAGCCCCTTTTTACAAGTTAAAAGAAGAAATAAAACTAATAGTCCAGTGATCTTGTTTTAGCTGAAGTCCCATAACAAATAATAAAGATGCACGAACTACCAGCTAAAATCAGATTTCTATAACTAATATGCATAATCTCATAACTCAACAGATTCAACAGCCCCCTAAATTTGCATAAGTTCATAACTAAAGAGAAATGGTATGTCTCTAAACTCTAGAAGCCAATGCCCATTGGTGGGCATCCCAAAAGCACACTCAAATCCACAAGAAGCACAGTAGTTTCGATAAATAGATAAATACAGGATGCCAAAGCACACAACACTGATGAAATTGAAGTTCCACCATAAAACCAATTGGCAATATGAGGAATAGCCCAAGACCATATAAGCACATAGCAAACCTTGTCCCTCACCGATGTGGGACAACTCTCAACACGCCTCCGCACGTGTGGCAGATTTTCAAGCCTACACGTGAACAACAACTGGGTGACGTGGAGTGCGTGTGGCCGGTAGGCTTCACACGTGAACAACCTTGCTCTAATACCATGATGAAATTGAGGTTCCACCATAAAACCAATTGGCAATATGAGGAGTAGCCCAAGACCATATAAGCACATAGCAAACCTTGTCCCTCACCGATGTGGGACAACTCTCAACAAACACAACCGTGCCTCCCTAGAAAGCTATGCCAAATATCAATGCAGGTAGCCATTGGACGATTAAAAGTTTAATACGCTCAGCCTTACTCGCGTCATTGCACGTGATTCACCAAGAAATTGATATTAACTACAATAGACTTTCTCCCCTACCTACTATCACAGGTACTAAGACTTCCATGAGAAACTGTCAAGACATTGTTGACAGCTCTCCACACTCAGCTGATTTTCCGATTATATTATGTCCACCATTCACATGGAAGCGATGCATTTAACATATAACTAGTACTGTTACTTGACTATTAGGAGACAAAATAACTAGCATCAATAAGGAATGTTGCTATAGGAACATAAAGAAAGAATGTGGGAGTGTGCATTATGCGTGTCATCGTTGCCTCACCAACGGGGAAACTCCCCTACCTCACAACCGCATCTTAAGCTATATCAAAGTCAACATGCTTTTTACATAACCTAAGCCCAAAGATTTGGCCTTTCTCTATCCTCATATATTCAACCAGCACCATGCCTTTTAAGTCTCCATTACACAGGAAAAAAAACCTTCAAAATCAATTATTCTTATCTCGTCCTAAAGAAAAAGCTACACAAACTAAACTAAGCACTAAGCCCTTCGAGCACCCTAATTTCAAACCAATTAAGAACTACAAAATCTAATCAGACAACATTTTAATCTCAAAAGGGTCACCTCTGCCACTCAAAATCTCCACACAAAAAATGAAAATTTCACTACTTTCAAACAAAAATCAGCAGAAAATAAAAGCTACCCAGATGCTAAAAACCATGTATAACCTGAGGGAGCCGCCGGTGGAGTTAATGAAGAGCTTGATATCCTTCTTAGAATCCTGGGCATCCAACAAAAGCAGCTGGCTAATAATAGCGTCGGCCACAAAGTCGTCAATGCTACTACCCAAGAATACAATCCTCTCCCTGAGCAAAAGCCCCATGGCGTCACCCTCGGCGCCTCTCATGGCGGTGTCCGGCGTCTGAGGAGCCGAGGAAATCAGGAGCGAGCCGTCGAGGGCCAGGGACCTGGAGGCGAAAGTGGGTTTTACGGTTTGGAGGGAAAGAGATTTGATTGAGGGGGTTTTGGGGGAAGAAGTGGGGAAGTAGGAGGTTGGTTTGGGGCGGGAGGAGTGAGAGAGCTTGGAGGTTGGGGTGGGGAGGAATGTAGGCGATGAGATTGAGAGAACGTCCATGGTTGCTTGCTCGCTCAGTCGGGAGCTGTGATAGCAGGGAAAGAGAATTGGGCGTTTGGATGCTTGTTAGCCAAAATGAGGCCAGGTCTTAGAAGACGAACCCATTTCGATCCCTTGGATTTTATTTATATTTCGCTTTTTAGGCAAAATGGTTTGTTTTTTGAGAGCTTTCCTAATACTGTTTACTTTAATGAAAAATTATATTTTTATATTAAAAAATTAAATTGGTATTATTCACTTTATCCTTTATTTTGTCTTTATCGTTAAAACTCAAAGTTTTCAAGCTCTTTTCATTAGTTTTTTGTTTTTGTCAAGGCAAAATGTATTTTTAAGATTAATATAAATCGTTATTTTCATGTCTGACAATAAAAATTAATAAAACTAGTCTATAAGTTTTTTTTACTATAAATCACTTTGGTGATCTGTCAATATCTTCGGTAAGTGAAGGGTCGGGGCACTTGTGCTCTAACCAACAAAACTCCACACTTTACAAGAATCAGAGAAACGTTTTTCGTACGCAGTCTTATACTTACTTTGTAAAGATGTTATTTTCACGACTCAAACTTGTGACCTTGTAGTCAATAAAGAGCAACATTTTCGCTGCGCCAAGGCTCACCCTCAACAATTACCAATAATGTTTTGACATAATAGGTATGTCTTAATTGTAAAAAGGTTTTCGTGGTGATATGGTAGTTAGAAAATAGTCATATGATTAAAATAAAACAAAAATAAGATTAAATCCTTGTGGTAAAGATTATTAGTAATTTACCTAAAAAATTAGATTTTCTTCAAAATCCGCTCGCATTTTAACGGATTTTAACTAAATTCTCACTTTTGGACAAAATTACTAATGTTCTTTACGATAGTAAAATATTGTAGGTAAATCACACTTGGTTCTTAATTAGGGATGGGCAACGGTTATGATGGATCGGTAACCACGGTTATTTACCCATAACCGTTTAAGCTTTTACACGCATAACCATTTACCCATTGGGTATTTACATAAACGGATATACTCATACTCGTAACTATTTATAAACGGTTAACCATACTCATTCACCCATAACCGCATACCCATTTAACCATGACCGCGTACCCATTTACCCATTTTTAACCCATTTACTCTCTTTTTTTCACCCGTCTACCTATTTTTTTAACAACTTGATAATTAAAAAGAAATTTGTCATAATTTTCTTTTTCTAACAATTAAATACCATTATAAATACATTTAACATGAATTTTTTGTATTAACGGCAATATTATTTATGAATATATGCGATGCCTCCCAATTATTTGACGGTCAATCTATTACAAAAATCATGCATGGGTTGTAGGTTAATTAATATTCTTGTATACATACATACATACATATATGTATGTATGTAACATCCCACATTGCCCAGTGGAGTGGATCATGTAAGCCTTATATGTATATTCTCATTTCTACCTAGCACGAAGCCTTTTGGGAACTCACTGGCTTCAGATTCCATCAGAACTCCAAAGTTAAGCGAGTTCGGGCGAGAGCATTTCCAGGATGGGTGACCCACTGGGAAGTTCTCGTGTGAGTTCCCAAAAATAAAACCGTAAGGGCGTGGTCGGGCCCCAAAACGGATAATATCGTGATACGGTGGAGTCGAGCCCGAGATATGGTGAGGACCCGGGCCAGGATGTAACAATTTAGTATTAGAGCCAATCCCTGGCCTGAAGTGTGTCGACAAGGATGTCGGGCCCCTAAGGGGGGTGAATTGTAACACCCCACATCGCCCAAGGGAGTGGATCTTGTAAGCCTTATATGTATATTCTCATATCTACCTAGCACGAGGCCTTTTGGAAGTTAACTGGCTTCGGGTTTCATTGAAACTCTGAAGTTAAGCGAGTTCGTGCAAGAGCAATCCCAAGATGGGTGATCCATTGGGAAGTTCTCGTGTGAGTTCCCAGAAACAAAACTGTGAGGGTGTGGTCGGGGCCCAAAGCGGACAATATCGTGCTACGACGGAGTCGAGCCCGGAATGTGGTGGGGCCAGAAACAAACTGTGAAGGTGTTGGTCGGGGCCCAAAGCGGACAATATCGTGCTATGGCGGAGTCGAGCCCAGGATGTGGTGGGGGCCCGGGGCGGGATGTGATAATGTAAGTACGCATCAGTCTACTAATAAACTAATTTGATAAATATTTTGATTTTTATTTAGAAACATATGTTCATCGATCAAAGCCATTTAATTGATGTCTAATTTTTAGGTCAAATATTTATTGAAAACTCAAGGCCAATTAAATATACATACATACACACATATATACGCATCAACCGACAATAATATGTTTCTAAAAGACTCCAAAACAAAAATGTCGAACACTCTAATGTTTTAGCACATTCAATCACATATATTAAACATTGACCCGTTCTATCAACTATATTTTTATGTCAAGTGAGGCATATATATATATATATATATATATATATATATATATATATATTATAGCCCTTTATAACCAAATATGTCTCGGGATACTAAACTTAGCTAGAGACTAATTTTTTTTTTTAGTTTTACATATATTAAAATAAAGGAAACTTTAACGAAAAGCTCCAAGTACTATTCACTTTAACGAAAAACCACATTTTTACACTAAAAAGTCAATCCTGGTACCATTCACTTTACCCTTTATTTTGTCCTTATCATTAAAACTCAAAGTTTTCAAGCCCTTTTCATTAGTTTTCCTTAAAATAAATGGTTAAATGGGTACCCGTTTATAACCGCAGGTAATACCCATAACCGCTCATTTAAATTTAAGGGGTAAACGGTTATATCTATAACTATTTATTTATCTAAACGGTTACCCATAACCGTAACCGTCAAATTTAAATGGACGGATAACCATGATTACCCATAACCAATGGGTATTTACCCATCCCTATTCTTAATGCTATATACCCTAAATCCTGAACAGTCCACGATTCTTAACCAAACAGCTTTGCACCACTTGATTTTAATAAACGCAAATTATCATGGACAATATATTACTTACCTTACAAGAAAAAAATATATATTTGCAATATCCTCCAAGTTTTGAGACGAGTCATGAGACTTCAATGTCTCTCAAAAATATAATGCACATGTATGAAAAGAGACAGATGTTTGTCACAATATAGAGCACCATCGTATCGATTCATAGCGTTATTGCACCGATGAATTACATGATAACGATCAAGGGGAAGCAAAATGTTTCTGTGAGTTATTCCGAATCTCAAAGGAATAGACTGTCATGCCCTTTTTTAAGCGAAAAAAAAAATAGTACGGGGACTACTCAAAACCATTTTGCATTGTAAGCCCCAAATTAATAACCATTTTGCAGGTACAACATTACACTATAACAATACTGTGTATATCTTCTAGCTAGTAATCCAAACACAACTCTTCATCTCTCATGATATACAACAGTTTCAGAATTTCTGCTCAATCAGTTTTGATTTTTTCCTTCTTCTGGGAAACATTTAGTGAACTTAATGATTAACGGATAGTAATTGTCTAATTGACAAAACACTAATTAACATTGGAGGTACGTTGAGAATTAATTTACAAGATTAATTGTGACAAATTAATTAATTAAAAATTTAATTATATTAGTGAATTACTGATCAATAGCTAGCCGCCAACGAGGAGTCATGAGTAACTGACGGTTATACACAGCAAACCCTAGAAATAGAAGGGGGAGGATGTGTGCTACTAAATAGGAGATTATTAGGAGGTAGTGGTTATGGTTTCATCCATGATCATTGAGATCACCTCCTTTATCTGCGCCAAAAGTAACGAAACCAAAAACTGCCCACCTTCCCCCGCATCTCTTTCGATCTCTTTCTTCTTTCTTCCTCTCTCTTTCCTTGTGGATTGGACTACTTAATTAGCATAAGTCAGCAGGCAGGCTGCTGTTACTTGTTCAGTTAATTTGTACGCTTAATCTGATAAGGTTTGTTAATTAGCACTAATCTTTAGGTCTAACTCAGGTCCACAGACACAAGAATATCTAATTCTCTCAGGTATCTCTCTCTCTCTCTCTCTCTCTCTCTCTCTCTCTCTATGTCTTAAGCTTTTCAAATCTTGTTTAGTTATCTCTCTCTTTCGTCTTTCAAGGGTCTTTTTCTATAGCATTGCTGGTCTTTTAGCAATTAATCAGTTAACTATTAACTATAATTAACTGTTCATGCAGGTTTTGTAATTTTCATGGCTATGAGTACTGCTACTTTTTGCTCTACTGATGACTGGGGGTCTGTTCAGCTTCTCAACCCACCAGAAATGAATATGCTTAGCTTCCCATCACAACAAGAGCTGCAGGCAGCTTCGTCGGGCATTTTCGGTCTGCAGGATTACTGCTATAGCTTAGCTAACATTAATCCAGACTACACCTGCATTGATCCACTCTTCCAGCCATACAAGTCCTCCGAAAACTTTTTCCTCCCCGATTTTTGTTCTCCCACAGATAACATCAATTTAGCCTCACTGTCGCCGGATATCTGTCCAACCCTAGATGAATATGACTACTCCTACCAGCCCTACCCAAAACGCCAAAAGCTCTTCCATGATCAGCAAGTCCAATATTACAATTCAAACTTCCCGATCGCCACTCCCAATTATTTCAATGCATATGATCAGTTCCTCCAGCCTGAAATTTTGGTTCCAACTCCTGAAATCCGAATTCAGAATCCACCTGCGGTTGCCAAGCTTAACAATAAGGCCGTCAGTGGTACTGGTACAGTGTCACCGCAGAGCATAGCTGCGCGCGAGAGGAGGAGGAGGATAACGGATAAGACTCAGGAGCTTGGGAGGTTGATTCCTGGTGCCACAAAGATGAACACTGCTGAAATGTTGCAAGCTGCGTACAAGTATGTCAAGTTCTTGCGGGCACAAGTTTCAGTTCTCAAACTCATGACGGACTCTCCAATTCAGCAGGTACTATTTCATCTGTATATACATAAAAATGGTTTAATATTTTGCAGCCAAGTTAGATGAATTTAGGGCAGAATATAATATTTCTTTCTTTTATTTATTGATTTAATGTATACATTTTAAATTGAAATTCTACGTTTAAGCAGGAAAGGAAGGAAGAAGGGTTGCATATTAATCAAGAGAGTCTCCAAGTTGTTGCCTCCCCAATTGTTCAAGAGAAGCTCTACTCTGAAGAGAAGTGCTTAGTTTTGAAGGAGTTTGTTGAAGTGCTGGCAAAAGATGATGACATCCAATCCAAACCCTTGCTCAGAGACAAAGTTGCTGAGTTGCTGCAAACCAACGGCTGACAATTACAAGAGTCACAGCTAGACACTGATTTGTTTCTTGATTTGTTGTTGTTGTTCCTTTAACTGTATTATCTAATTAATTCCTAGTTAGCTCGTTAACATTTTTGTAGGGTGCTAATCTAACCAATTTCTTGTCAATTTCTAATTTTCAAGAAATATATTGGTGTTATGTACGATTTTTTGGTGATTATTTTGTAACTCACCTCATCTACCTTTTAATAAAAAAAAAATTATTACAATTTTGTTCTTTATATAAAATTTGAATTGATGGGTTATACAATGGTAATAGCACTGAAAAAAAATGTCTGGAGCTTCTATATATACTAGCACTCGAAATTAGTCATATATACTGCAATTGCACTCAACACCGATAAGTATTATCCAACTGAGTTCAAGTACAAATTACATAAGCATCTTAATTGATATATGGAGGCCATCCTGAATACGTCATTAGATCCTCAAACCAAACTAAGTAAATCACAAATCGAAAGTGCAAACTTTGTGGACGATTGTGCCACTCCATTGCAAAGAACTCATTGCCAGTACTTGAAAAGCCAACACTTGTAATATACCAGGCTTTGGTGAGACTTATTCCAACATGCAATCCCCATCAGAGACTCATGTTTGCCAATATCATTCATGATGATCTGATATTCTATCTACTTGAGTATCTACACACTTAAGGGAAGTATTGTAGTTAGAATTATAACACATGTGTGATTATATAAATCCTAATAGATTATGTTTGAAAATCTTATGAAATCTAGAAGATCTTTGTATTACTTAGAGAGCTAGTTTTCTTCCTTCCTTATTAATATAGATAAAAGCACAAAATATGAGATTTTTCTCTACTCTATGCCGATTTTCCTCTCTTCCCTCTCTAAATTTATGCCACAACAAGAAGAACGATTTTCTTTTAGATGATTTTTTTTTTTTGTTAAACGATAGATTTGTTAGATTAGAGAACCGATAGGGTTTGAATCCAAATCATGATGCAAGAGCAACACTACTCTCCACCACTAGAGTAGAGGGCCATTTGCAAAAATAAATGAAATGCTAAATGAAAAAATTGCGTCAGCCCGGAAGTCGATGAGATGATCTTTGGATTGTGTACTTAATTTCAAGATTGGAATTATGGAATAGATTACAGATTAGACAAGTGCTTTTTGTAAAAAAATAAAAATAAAAATAAAAGTCGGAAACTTTTTACCAAATTAAACTGCTCTTTATAGTCCGAGTGCAAGTGGTTACCAAGGATAACTTTCAACGTGATAAAATAGACTCCCCCACTTTCTTTCTTGCCAACCGTTTGAACTCAGTTTAAAACTAACCATCTCAAAAGAGTCACACACAAACTTCTCCATGGCCTCCATTTCTGCAATCTCCGTCCTCCTCTTCCTCACATTTTCTGCCTCACTTTCGGCAGCTCTATCTGCTTCCGTCATAGAAGACCTCAGGAACTTAAAACCACCGCATGATTTTAACTCCACGATCACCAAAAACTGCCATCACAACCCATCACTCAGATACTGCAGTTCCTTACCTATGGACCTTGATGAGATTTTCAAATCCACCATTGTTGCAAGCCATCTCTGCAACGAGTCCAAGAATCCAAACTGCATCGAATCATTCCCTAAAATAGACCTTCAAAACCGCCCAATGATCACGCCGCTCTACTTGTCATTCAACTTCTTTTGGAAGTATTGCCCTTTGAGCATCTTAACTATTGACTTATCCAACAGTTCCTTAGACAGCAATTTTCCCATTGATGTTCTTCAATGCACCCAAATCCAAGCTCTTGATATGAGCCATAATGACCTTTACGGCGATGTCCCAATAGAGAGCTTCTCTCCGCTTACCAACCTCACTTCTCTTAATTTATCATACAATCACTTCTCTGAGAGTAAAATCTCTGATGCCCTCTTCTTTAAGCGGTTCAATTCTTCGAGTTTTCTCCATTCGGGTCTACTCCCCGATAAGAAAAAGTTCAGGATCAAGGCTGTAATCTTGTTGGTTGGTTTTCCGATCTTTGTGATCCTGATGGTGTGTTGCTTGGGGTGGCTTTGTTTCCGGAGGCCTGATTTCCTCCCAAGAATGCTTCGAAGAAAGCACCGGTTTACATCAGCAATGCTTAAGGCAGCAACAAATGGATTTTCGAAAAGAAATTTGAAGGGGAAGAGTGAAGCAGTTGATATCTACAAAGGAACTCTGAGAGATGGTACTGATGTCAGGATTGAGATTTACCGAGGAGAAAACCACCCGAACTTGATTGAAGAATGCAAGGTTCTTGTTCAGTTATGCCACAAGAACTTGGTTAGTATATTGGGTTGGTGCAATAACAGAAGGTTGAGAGCCATCGTAACTGAATGGATGGAAGGTGAGAGCCTTGAGATGTGGCTGTTGGAGGCAAACAGTACACCATGGAATCACAGGCTGAAGATATTGATGGGGGTTGTGGAAGGCATTTGTTATCTGCAGGAGGAATGGCCTGAAGTTGGATATGACCTCAGGACAAGCAGTATCTTGCTGTCAAACAATCTGGAACCGCGAATTTCGAGGTTTAAGGTCGGGGATCAAAGCAGTAGAAGTAAGTCGATCCATGAAGCTGCACCATTTGTATCTGTTATTTTTTACCTCTCTTAATTTGGTTAACTTCTAGTATCTAAATTTAAACTTTTTGTTCAGAGATGTACAAGTTCGGAGTGCTTCTACTAGAGATGCTCGTAAACAGGCGACCGCAGGAAGACTTTGAGACGGGGGAGGCTGGTTTTCTCGAGTATATCAGAATGCATTATCCTGAAAATTTGCAGAAGGTGATGGACAAGAAATTGGCGACACAAGATACTTTTGATCAAGCTAAACAGGCAATAGGCCTAGGGCTAATGTGTACAGACATACCCAGCAACCAACAACTAGGGTTGGGTCAAGTGTTTGATATCATTAGTCGAGCCTACCAGTCTTGCAGGGTTTTAGCATCACATAACCGCGAAAGATTACATGCCGAAAGAGGTAAAGGGCACAAGCGCATACTATCGAGATGAACCTTTGAATTCATCCAAACTCGTAAATCCAATTCCTGAGAGAGCTCATACATTTACTACGCAAAAATATTTTATGTTCTGTATGTGCTATCCGAAATGCTTTAATTTTCCTCGTGGATTGTTAAGTTTCGGTATGCTATTAGAGATCGATGTTCTTGTTCGGTTTCATGACTCTTTCCTCCTTCAACAGCTTCTATTAGTTCACAAAATATTGTATTATGCTTTGTAATGGACAGCGGACAACATCAGCGTAGAAAAATAATGCGCACATAACCAATGAATTCGAATCATCAAGAACATCAAAGTACAGAACTTGCAGGTGAATACAAACTGTTTCTTGTAAACATTAAGGGGTGGCACATTACAAGAAATCAGGACAAAAAATTACCGCCAGAAAAAGTATTCTGTGTATATGTAAGTTCAAGCTGGGATTCCTCACTTGATGACTCCAGGTCTGTTGGCTTGCACTTTAGATCTCGTCCGATGGACCTTCTTTGGCAACTCGGTAGTTAATGCATACATTTTCACGGCGAATAATTCTACAGGCAACCCCTTTTGATCCTGATGTAAAGAAAAACTGGAATTAGAAGCGAAGAAGACTTTGATACAAGGAAGGAGATATTTCATATGAATTCACTCAAGGACAGCCATGAAATGAACCAGTTTACCAAAACCAGCTAGATATTGATCTAGCGGTACTTCTCTTCCACTTAGAGATGTCTAATTCACTTTATTAAGAAAATTGACATTAATATGAGAAGCAACGAGTACTGGCAAAACTCTGACAGGCATCGTATGACGTTATTCTATTAAGAAGCAGTGTCCATGCACAACTTATATCATTTCTCCTTCACTTGTAGACTATATTAGTTATCACTTATCAGCAATAAACAATGAAAATAAAAGTAACATATCGCATGAGATAAGGTCCACATCAAATTCTAGAGCTAATAGTACAAAGTACAAATTTCACATCTAACCTTTGATATGTAAAGATGAAGTCCACACTGACGAAAGAGCTCCTTAAAGTACAAATCAGACCTAGTGACACTCCGATCTTCTGTGTCTAACACGAATCCTACAAATCAATACGATTAGTCAACAAGACGTTATTCTTTGTCAAATTTAGTCTACAAAAAAAAAAAAAACACAGATGAATACACTTTTTGTGGCATGGTAAACTTGGTATTAGTAGTAGTGGAAACAGGTGAGATGAGAACTTTACCAAGACCACATGAAAGAAGTGAAACAGCAAAGCAACTTACCGGATCTTGCAATATTTTCCTTCAGAATAAAAAGACCACCAGGTTTTAATCCAACCTAGAAACAGGTGACCCATATAAAAATGTTAGTACCTTTCTACACGCAAAACTAACAATAATAGGGGTCATGATTCTTCCATAAATAGAATTATTACAGACACCAATCCAATAGACTACAAAGCAACATGTTAAGGGCATAAATTTGACTGGACGTACAAAAGTGGTAGTATAATAGGAATAATTCTGCCATCAAAGTGCCTCTATCAAAGATTGACAACAAATAGATAAAATCAAACATTCCCAGGCACTTAATAGCACAAAAATAAGTGATTTAGATCTTACTGAGGACATAAGCAATAACCCAGTTCTTTGACCCAATAATCCCCAAGTTAACGTGTAATGGTACAATGGTTTTTTCATTTTTTTTTCTTTTTTCCTTTCCCTGTTTTTTTAGTGGAAAAAGGCTTTGTTGTTGTTGTTGTTGTTTGTTGTTGTTTCCTTTTCCTGTTTTTGGTTTGGAGGGAGGAAGGAACCGAATGGTCCTATGAATTGAACACCATGTCTGAGCATAAAGTCAGTAAGAACAGAAATTTTAAATTTAACGAAGGCCTTAATGCTTCACAGAATTTTATAGGTTTGTGGATGTAAATGGTCAGAAGATTGCGGATCTTCAAGTTCAATTCCATAGTGAACAGTCTACATTTGATCATGAAATGATAGTGATGCAATCGCAGTAAATACCTTGATATCTGAAATAGTTTTACATTAATATTCAAGAAAACAGTTTTACCTTTGCCCGTTTAAAGAATGAGACAAAGTCATCATCTGTCAGATGACCAATACACCATTGAACCCATATAATGTCGTACCTCCCTGCTTCTGGTGTGAATTCCTAAAAATGGAAGCAAGAAAATGTTCATGAGGTTTCCAAAAGAGTCAACGAGGTTAAGAGACTGATGTTTAGAAAAAGTTAAGAAAGGAAAACGCTTAATGAGTGCCCCGGATTGACAAAATTGCATGGCAGGTGTTTAAAAAATAAAATAAAAATAACCTAGCAAACCATTGTGTAACTAATATGGGAGATATAGTTCACCATCTAAACAGGAACAAAGAAAAAAATAGCAGGTTGTAAGTGTCGAGACCATCCAATGTTTCTGGTAATGTATTGAATTTGAGTATATTACCTGAAGAGGCACACAGAAAAAGTTAGTAGCTTTGTGCGTATCAGAGATCATATGATTTTCAGGAGCCAAACTTTCACGAGCAGTTTCCAAGAAATGAGATACGGGCTCAAGAAGATCAACCTGGGTTTTCAAGAAAACAGAAATAAACAATCAAAGAGAACAAACGTGCAAAGGTTACGAAGGATAATAAGCTCTATCAAGTTTTAGTGGCACTGGTTTGTTCCATGTAACACAAAAACAATAACTCAGTTTGACTGAAAATCCAAAACATGAAAACATAACAAAGCTATAGATATCCTGACTCAAGCTCAGAAATGAAGAAAAGCTAAATCAGTTATCACTTATCATCTAATAAATAAAACCGAAAGCTAGAAAGGTAAGAACCAACACGTATTTTTGAGGTCTCGTGATATAGTCTAGCATACATGTTCAACATATGCAAGCATGTGCCTTTGGATTTGGATGCACTTCACATTAAATTAAACCATTTGGAACTTACCTGAATATGCTTCTACAATTCGGGATTGACAGGGACAACATACACCATGAAATACAAGTTCACACAAAGACCTCAACTTTATACAGTAACATCAAAAGAAATTCACAGAAAGTGAATATCGAAAGATGGCGGTAGAAGAGGGAGGTGCTGTCCCGAAACTGAACTCACCTCATTGAAGTATCTTATGAGAAGATTTTTGGAGACTCTGCCAATGCCAGAACCACAATCTGCAGAAATTTAGATACTGGTAAGAACTTGCCTGATTTTAAAACCATAAACCGATAGAGCCAAAATTTGGATTGCAACCTTTCTCAAATTTGCATTTTTTGATGAACAAAAGTGAAATTATTTAATCTAAATTCAACAAATACGATAATTTAAAGCAACTCAAACAAAGAAAAACATAGAGAAAGATAGATTTTGTGTACCAAGAACAACAAGGTGACGTTGGCCATTTGCAGCGTCGGGAAAACGCTCAGAGAGAAGCTGCTTAAGAAAAGCTTCACTGCCCATTATGTCAGGCTCATTCACCTGCGCATATCCTCCCAACACTCCATTGGTCGACGCCTCCACACCCTTTACAACGAAACACACCAAAAACATCACACACTTTCCCGATGCCCACAACCTGCTCGACGAAATGACTGAACCAAAAAGCGGAAACCAAAACAGAGAAGGTTGACCAAAGCACTTACTTCCCAGTAGCCAACGCCTTGGCGGTACCACTCGGTCTTCTTGCTGTGGTCGTCCCCGACCTGCTCCCTCCACATCTCCTCTGCGTTCTTGAATTCTCGGCCGGCGGAGTCTAACCCACCTTTCTCCATTGATACTCGAGTTTCCGTTCCGTTTCGGCGGCTGTTGGGTGCTTTAAACGGTTCCTTGGCAAAACAACGTCGCACGGCGGCAAAGATGAAGTCTTTTGAAAGTAGCTGGGAGCATAAAATGGAGTGATGCTGCATGAAAAAGTTTGAAAACCTATGATCTGGACGATGACGATGAAAAAATGCCAGCTGGATAACTTGTTCCTGCGTGGCAATTCTTAAGCTTCTGTGACGTGGCACGATCATGTCGAGAACACGATTTGATACGCTAGTTACTAATTACTGAAAGCGTTAAAAATAGAGTAGTGTTATTTATATCATATTTTTGTACCACGTTTTTATACTAATAATTAAGAAAAATTAGTTAATTAAATGATAATTGTGGTATACGAGGAGTTTTTTTCATTCTTTTTCTTGGGTTTTATAAATTTTTCAAACAATATGGTTGTCCTCATCAGATAACACCGATATACAAATATGGTATAAAAACATATTATAAACAATATTAATCTTAAAAATATATGTGTATCGACCCGTATTCACGGCACACTAAAAATCTCTCATCCGAACACACGGAATAGTTTCAACGTCTCTAAGCTTTGAAAAGCATTAGTTCATCATAAAAAAATAAAAATAAAAATAAAATAAAAAATAAAAATAAAAAAAAGCTTTGAAAAGCATGGAAGGCAGAGCAACATATTTATCAAATCTCCTGCAGAATTGCATAGACAAGAAATCCCTTTTGTCTGGCAAGCTTATTCACGCTTTTCTACTACGCCGCAACGGCCTCTTTTCGAATACTTTCCTCTCCAACCGCCTCGTCGAGTTGTACTCGAAGTGCGGCAATATCGAGTACGCACACAGAGTGTTTGATAAAATGCCGCACCCAGACGTCTACTCTTGGAATGCCATATTGGCTGGTTGCTCTAAATTTGGGAGTTTAGGGGATGCTCAGGAGTTGTTTTTGAGAATGCCGGAGCGAAACACTGTTTCGTGGAATACTCTGATTAGTGCCTTGGTTCGACATGGGCAAGAAGAAACGGCATTGGGGGTTTACGATACAATGATTTTGGAGGAATTCATGCCTACCCGGTTCACGTTGGCGAGTGTGTTTAGTGCGTGCGGAGCGTTGTTGGATGTGGAGCATGGTAGGAGATGTCATGGTCTTGTTATCAAAATTGGTCTTGAGGAGAATATCTATGTTGCCAATGCTTTACTCTCCATGTATGCAAAATGTGGACTTATTAGGGACGCGGTTCAGGTTTTTTCTGACATGGATGAGCCTAATGAGGTTACTTTTACAGCTATGATGGGAGGGTTAGCGCAGACGGACAGAGTCATGGAGGCTGTCGAAATGTTTAGAATGATGTGCAGGAAAGGGGTTCGTATTGATTCCATCTCATTGTCGAGCATCTTGGGTGTTTGTGCCAAAGGAGGAGGTGGCGAGTTTGGTGTTGGTGATCAGAATGATGGGATTCCATGTAATGTGAGCGGACAACAAATACATGGGCTTACAATTAAACTTGGATTTGAGGGAGACCTTCATGTGAACAATTCATTGCTCGATCTGTACGCAAAGAATGCGGATATGAATAGTGCCGAGAAGGTTTTTGCTAGTTTACCTGAAGTTAGTAATGTTTCTTGGAATGTCATGATAGCCGGGTATGGCCAGATACACCAGAGTCAGAAAGCTATAGAATATCTGCAAAGGATGCGATCTTGCTGTTTTGAACCAGATGAGGTTACTTATATACACTTGCTTGCAGCATGTGTCAAGTCTGGTGATATAAAAAGTGGACGCAAAATGTTTGATAACATTTCATGTCCAAATGTGAGTTCATGGAATGCCATTCTCTCTGGATATTTCCAGACTGGTGATCATGAGGAGGCGATAAAGCTGTTCAGGGAAATGCAGTTCCAAAATGTACAACCTGATCGAACAACTTTGGCAATTGCCCTCAGCTCCTGTGCCGCAATGGGGCTTCTGGAGGCTGGAAAAGAGGTTCATGCTGCCTCCCAAAAGGCAGCCTTTCATACAGATATATATGTTGCAAGTGGACTTATTGGCATGTATTCAAAGTGTGGTAAGACAGAAATGGCAAAGCATATATTTCATAGTATGCTTGAATTAGATATTGTTTGTTGGAACTCTATGTTGGCAGGCCTTTCACTCAATTCTCAAGATAAGGAAGCTTTCACTTTCTTTAAGCATATGCGGGAAGATGAGATCCTTCCTACCCAATTCACTTATGCTACTGTACTGAGTTGTTGTGCAAAGCTCTCTTCTTCGTTTCAAGGGAAACAGGTTCATGCTCAGATGACAAAGGATGGATATATGAATGATGTCTTTGTAGGAAGTGCTCTCATTGATATGTATTGCAAATGTGGTGATGTGGATGAGGCCCGAAACTTTTTTGATACGATGCCTAGCAAAAATACTGTTACTTGGAATGAAATGATACATGGGTATGCACAAAATGGACGTGGAGATGAGGCCGTTCTGCTTTACAGGGACATGATTGAATTGGGTGAAAAACCTGATGGTATAACTTTTGTTGCTGTTTTGACTGCTTGTAGCCATGCCGGATTGGTCGATGAAGGCATTGACATATTCAATTCAATGGAACAAGAACATAGAGTGGTGCCTGTTTTGGATCATTATACGTGCATTATTGATGCTCTAGGCCGTGCTGGTCGTTTCCATGAAGCAGAAGTCCTAATAGATGAGATGCCATATAAAGATGATCCAGTTATATGGGAGGTTTTGCTTAGCTCTTGCAGGGTTTATGCTAATGTGCGCTTAGCTAAAAGGGCAGCAGATGAACTCTTCCGCTTGACCCCACATAATTCAGCCCCTTATGTGCTTCTCGGCAATATTTATTCTTCTTTAGGAAGATGGGACGAGGCAAGGGAAGTGAGAGATAAAATGAGTGATACACAGGTTGTTAAGGACCCAGGTTATAGCTGGATTGAATACAACAAGGGAGACCGAACTGGTTATGGCGGGTGATAATTTCATTGTGGTTGATGATGAAGTTGAAGTAGCAAGTAACAGAAAATCTTTCTATCATGCCTAGCCCAAAGTCAAAATACTTCTACAGGGGCATGCCTTGGTGCTTCTTCATGGAATCATATGGTATTCTCCTTGTGGAAGCTCGGGAACTATAAAACAGAAGGTCTGTCAAGCTGTAGCTTTTTTATAATGAGTCTGTTTACAATTTCTATGAACATTCTACCCTCTAATTTTGCTGCGTGAAATTTGACATCATCAGGTTGAATGCCGCGGCATCCTTCTCTCAAGAGCCTCGTTAGCCCTGGAAGGTTTGAACAAGTGAAAGGGAGGGGTTTGCCGGCTATGCAAGAATCGGATGTGCTATGTTGTAGACATGAAAGCATAATAACTCAACAGCAGGGATATCCCTTGAATCAGACAAGGAAAGAGAGCGTAGGTTCCGTTGTTCTAGTGCTGCAGACTAAGTACGGGTTTCCTTTTTTATCAACAAGAATACAACTTACAAAAGGGCAGCCCCAATTCAAGGGACGGGGGAGGAAACGAGGAAATTCATGCCTGCAGGATGCCTGATCTCGTAGCGGACTAAACTCTCTTCATATGTACGGACACAGTTCGTCTGAGACAGAATTTAGCTCGTCTCGAAAGTATAGTAGCTGTAAACCCATAAGATTTTGTAATAGTTTCAACCATACGATGATTTTGGTTCAAATATTAACTTTAGGTCAAACAATAAAGGCACATATGTTTGTGATTCTGATATCAATTGAAGGCTTACATATTTCAACTCAATAATAACTTATCCATCCTTCCTATATCGAAATAATTCAACGGTCACCACGGAATTTCCTGGCCATCCCAGGCGAAAAACTTGCCGTTATCGTGGCTTTTTGCATTGAGAATGATGCTTAAGAGCTTCTGTACTGAGAATTCTGTTGTGAAAAGTTTGTTTTCAGGAACATTTCTCTGAAATGGCTTGGAGAGATCTGTGTCCACCGTACCTGGGTGCAATAAAATGCATGTAATCGGATCCTTCCTCCGTGCAAATTCCACCGATATATTTCTCGTCACTGCAACAACAATACGAGGAATGACTAAGTTGCTATCGAAAACTAGTAGGGGAATTATGTGATGTTAAGAGACCTCAGGGAAGAAATCATACGTTGATTAAGTGCAGTTTTTGAAGCTCGATAAGAATGCCAACCCCCAAGGCGATTATCCCCTATAGATCCCACCCTGGCGCTCAAGTTGGCCACAACTGCAACATCCCTGTCAGTTCCAGAGCCGCCTCCATCCTTCAAGAGAGGCCACATATGCTGCTTGCACAAATCAAAGATTCTCCATAAACATTTGATTCAAAAACCAAGTCAAGTTCGAAAGACGAGGCTTAGAGTGAGGATACCTTGATCACTAAAACAGGACCTACAGCATTAACCTCGTAAGCAAGCATCAACGATGACTTCTCTACTTTCCTCAACGTCGTTTCTGTACTGGAAGTAAAACAATAGAAATGACAGTCCGGCGTTGGCAACAAATGATATAACTTGTGAGCAAAATATTGTAGGTTTAGATCGTGATTAGACAATCAAATGTCGATGCATCCCTCACTAATGTGCATACCTGGTTGTAATACTTGAGGTATTGAAAGAATCCCAGATGCATTGATTAGAAGGTTTAAAGAACCATATCTTTTGCCGATAGACTTTGCAGATTGCTGAAATGCATAAATAAACAAACCTTTAGAGCTTTAGAACGTAATTTTTTTCCATCAACAGACGGGAAGTGTACCACAAATTATGATATTTTAACTCATCCATGACTAAAAGCTAAACTTCATTCACCAAAGTGTTACCGGAAAAAGGAAAGGGCGAAATGATCTAACTTCTACGGTTACTTTTGCCTCAGAATGGAGCAAGAGAACAAAGTGAAATTGCAGAAAACCAGACAATGTTAACCTCTATGGTGCTTTCATTGGTCACATCCAATTGTAGAACACTAAGGCGTTCGCCAAATTTACTTTTCAGATGATGAAGACCAGTTGCCCCCTCAGGATTACGGCAACTAGCAACAACATGACCTTTCTCCTTCTCCAACAATTGTTTAACCTGTACAAGACAGAAAAAGAAACATGTCACCATTGTGAGGCAGAAAAATTCACAAGTCTCTCTTAACACACCAAAAGTTCAAAACCAAATCATTAAGAAGAAATGGTTACGGAAATCTTGTGTTATTAATTTGTTCAAGCAGTAGAAAGCTAAAAGCGTCATGATTCGAACATTGTCTTGAGTCTTGAAAGCTTAGTTAGTCTTTGAAGTATATAGCTATACCTATATACGTGTTGATCTGTATCATTTTAAGAACCCACACAAGAAATTGTGCGTCCGAATTGTTTCTGGCATAATATGACTATTTCAATTTGTTACGCGTCTACACAAATTACAAGAGCTCAGATATCGTCTAGAGGTCTAGGGACGATCAATTACATGGAAATCCTGCAGAGTAACAAAGGTTCTGCGAGATGCGAAAACAATCTTCAAATGATGAATGCAACTCCACCATTGTGATAGCCATAAACAACACTCACAGAAAAGTTTTCAGATTGGCAAATTGTCGTTGAAGCATGGACGAAAATTTTCCCATCTTTCCCTTTTCAAACCTTAATTCTATCGGTTTTTTCAGGGCATCTTCAAATGCAACTGAAGATCATTTACTCAGGACATGACATTTTGGATCATGTATGTGCCAGTAAACATTACAAAGATCACATATTCTAGTTTTACTGAATTCCCAACCGTTAAACCGGAACCTGGCTATACTCTCCGCATGAAACACAGCAACCCATATGCCAAATCCATCAGCATTATATCTCACACACACACACACACACACACACACACACACACATATACATACATTGAGCGTCTGCTACATATAAAAAACTCAGAAAATTTATATAAACACATATAGTATAATAAAGCAAATGAGGAAAGAAAAAGAGGGCTCTCACGAATTCCAGGCCAATTCCTCTGGAAGCACCCTGCACCATGGAAACCCCACCTTCCCATTTCCCAGCAGAAGAAGAAAGTGAAGCCCTTTGGCTCATTACCCGCATCAGTCTCACAGGTTTCATCGCCGCCATGGACGAGCACTGCTGGTTCAGAAACAACAGGGGTCTCAATTTGTACATCTTCGGCAAACCACCAATTCGGAAAGAGACCAACCGATCTTTCTGTATTGTTTGCAGCTTGCTTTTCCCAGCTCTGCAAAGTGCAAACTAGGATGTGGAACCACTGGAAATGAAGGAAGCCATGAAAATAATAATTTCCCAACAAACAGCTCATTCATTGCAACTTTTGGCAACGTAACACTTTGATGTATGTGGCTGATAATCTTCCACCTTTGTAGTATTTTTCCAGTTTTCCGTTGTCTTCAATTTTCCTACCAAAAGAGAAGCTATTTAGGGCCAACTGCTGCAATCTGGGCTACTTTGTTGTACACTTGGGTTATACTCCAGAATTTGGGCCGTGAGTTTTACTAGGCTTGAACATGAGTATTTTTTTTTCCCTGTTTTTAAACGCAGCGGTAGTTGCCGTTAATATTAAATTAAATTTAGGGTATAATTAACACAAGCCTAATCCATACAACCAGAGGCCCAACCCTCAATTCTCAATCCAAATGGCTTAAGTCCTAATTGAACATGAGCATTAAACTTGAGGCATTTTAACCAAAATGGTCTTAAGAGATTGACATAACTCCTCACTTTCCTAAGATTTGAAATCGATAGAAGTGATCCTTGAGTTTGTCCATCGTCAATTATTTTGGTCCTTGAGTGAAAAATCTATGTCAAATAAGGACCAAAATGGTAAAAATACCCTCAATTCATTGGATCCGACAGTCGAAAATTGAGAGGGATGCATGAGAAGTAAAAATGTGTGTGTAGATAACACTACATTTTGTTAATACATATGATATTATCTACACTAAGGGATGGAAGAATGGATAAAGCCTCACAATGAGCTAAGCATAATAATTTAGTTCAAATTCCTATTTGATGACAATCGAACTGAAGGCCTCACACTTACAAGTGAAAAAGAATGTCACTAGACTATAGTACTGAATAACAAATAAACTCTATTTTCTAATACAAACGATATCACTACTTTAATAATATACACTAGAAAGATGTGGGACGGTTTGAAGTTGAGACGCAATGTCGGGAACCAATCGTAAAGACACTATTATGAAAAAAAAGGCACCAAGCCTCTAATGATCGTCGGCAAAATTATTTCTTAAATAGATTGAAAGTAGTGCCAGCCACCTTATTGTATACTCTTAATCCAACTAGATTCTTAATTTGTTAATGGAGTAATCATGAGAAGTGTCATTTAGGCCATGATCTGACATGGAATTTCCTTGACACTTATTCATTTGAAGTTCCATGATTTGAGTCATTGACGATGTCCTATGTTATACAATTATCTAAACTGTTAACTCACAACAAGCATTGGCCACCGTCGAATCCATCAAAAGTCACTGATGCATGGCAAATTTTTATCGTTTCATGTAAGTAGAAAATGGTTCTACTTTTAGGGGTATGATATCCACACATTTCATTTTAATTCTCACACATCTTTTTAATTTTCGGGCGTTGAATCAGATGAATTGAAAAAATCAAATGATAGAAATTATCAAAATGTGTGCGAGAAGTAAAATAAGGTGTGTGGATAGCATATCCCTACTTTTATTCCCAATTATCATATGAAATGGAGAAAACATGGAGCTCAACAGCCAATCAAATCATCATTTTCAAATCAGGTCAAATCAGTTTATTAATAAAAAAAATATGTATATTAAGGAGTAGAGAAAAAATTAGTATAAACTTGCGATATTTAAATCTATTTTTTTTTAATTATAAGTGAAGAGGAAAATATATAGACTGTAGTATTAAGTAGCATGTCATATTATTGCTAAGAATTATGGAATAAGAGAATAGTTAAATACAATTATCGTGAAATGTATTGCACATTTTCTACTGTATATACTAACAAAACCTTTAATCTTAAATATATATATATATATATATATATATATTTTAATATATATGACATATATTATCTACAGAAGTGGACGGGGAAATGGGCTAGTCATAATAATTTAATTCAAATTCACCTTTGGCGAAAATCGAATTTAAAACCTTTCACTTACAAGTGAAAATGAATATCGCTAGACCGTAGTGTGACACCTTTAGTATATATTTACATATGTTCCATAGTAATTTTAAATTTTTACATGTTTAGATTCACAACCCACACATGACATGGAACTAATTACATGAAAGAAAAAAAATAATACTATTGATAAAAACCAAAACTTTCAACAAAATCAAAGTCATATATGGCCAACAAACCCTAATGTAGTAATGTTCAAAACGATGGTTGATGAGACCGACGGTGTATTTATAGGTCCCACACAATAATAGAGGGCGAAAAATATAAAAGATAAGCCGAACTAATACATGTTCACACCAAAACTTCGAATTCTTACTGTACCATACCATATGAAATCATCAACTAATGTTTACATATAGCCTTTATTTTGTTGCGAAAACAGATTTAGGGGCCAAAGATAATCTTTGGTTACAACCATCACCCCCAACAAAGGAGGGTTTATGCAAAACAACACTCTGATACAAATTGAAACTCAGATTGCAAACAATGAGCAAACAAATAACACTTTTAACAAACCACTCACTAGAAACCAAGAACAAATTAAACCAGCAAATCAGAGAACAAATTTAGTCATTATTTGTTTTTTTTTTTATCTACTAAATCATTGAATTTGAGTTGAGATCTCAATATTCAAACCAAAAATGATGAAAACTTAGCTGAGAGGCATGAAGATTGAGTGGCAAAGGTTTGAGATGTTAAAAGTCGTTTCATGATTAAGGGAATCTCCAACTTAGGTTTCTTGCTTAGTTAATGTGTGACCGTAACATCACAGTGTAACCACAGAAATATTTATATACTCTCGTACTTAATTCTGTCAAGTTTCTTAATTCTTATGATTCATTAGAGTTGTGCTTATACTTGAATGACATACAAGCTTTTGTGAACACCATCAATATCATTTTCAGACCTTCTTTTTCTTTTTCTTTTTTTCTTTTTTTTTTTTTATACAAGGACAACTAGCTGTTTTCTGTTGTTATGACTTCTGGATCACAATAAAAATAAACCTTACAGCTTGAGAGATGTGACGATATTAAATAATTATAAGTGAGATCACGATTCCTTACTTATAATGTAGAGAACTATTTTTAACAAAAAAAATAAAAAATAAAAATCCATGAACTTTGTGCATGCAAGTTAAGAATGATAATTATTATTTTTGCTCCCTTTCAAAATGTTATAGGGCTTAGAAAATGTCATAAAGAATAGTTTCTGAATGTTAGCTAGAGAAAAAGAAAGATCTGCCTGGTAGTTGAAGAAAGTTGGGGTCTAATTGGTAATATGAGAAGTAGTTTTAACCTTTTATAAGTTTTTGTATGGTTTCGTCTCTCAAAGATATGGGATTTTCTCCTTACATTCTCACATGTCCCTTCACGTGTGACGATTTTTGAAGTCTAACATGTGGACAACACAAACAGGGCGACAGAGAACACGTGTTGCCGTTGGGCTTTATCCGTTGATCAACCTGCTATGATACCATGAGTAAAGTTGGAGTTCTGTCATAAATCAATTAACAATATGAGTAGTAACTCAACCTTTATAAGCCCTTGTATGATTTAGTCTCTAACCGATGTGGAACTTTATCATCACATTCTCAAAATAGTGTGGTAACATATATATATATATATAGGCCCTTTAAGGGAAGGGATTCCCATTTTTTTTTTAAATGAGGACACTCTGTTGACCATTAGATTTAGCTTTAATGAAATTTTGTGGTTGAGATTAAATCATAGGCCACAAAATTTCATCAAAGCCAAATCTAATGGTCAAGAGGGTGTTCTCAATTTTTTTTTTTTTTGAAAAATGAGGATCCCTTCCCTTAAAGGCTTCCTATATATATATATATATATATATATATATATATATATGTATGTATGTATGTATGTATGTATTGTTGATGCAATTGGTATTTTACCACACATCTATATATCTGAAGACATTGAATGATCTTTCAAGTGCATATCGATGTTCAAATGATGAGAAAACTCTGAAATAAAAGAATTACCAAACATTTCAGAAGGAGTAAATGGTCATGAACTTTATGGTATGCCATCAATTATTACTCCAATTCTTTCTTTTCAAAATCATGATCACAGTCACTCCCATTAACAGAGTTGCACCCAATTTTCCATATACATATAATGACTCTTAGCCCATCAATCAAGAATGTGAAATCACAAAGGGAGAACATTTTGGACTGTTCTTTGTTCAAGTGTCAAATGTTAGGGGCATATGTGAGAATATCACATAAGTTGATCGATTTGACAGAACTTGGTGTCACTATTTCCCAATAAACTGAGTGAAAGTTGCTTCCGCTACCAAGTTGATCGATTTATTGGAACCTGTATGCGGTATATCAAAGATTAATAAACACCATGAAGAGCCGGTCATGAATAGTAATTGGGTGATGTTAGAGAGAGATAATCTACTTAAAATATATTTTATAGACTACATGATATAACAATTGAAGGTTGAATTCCTGCTTTACATCATAAAATAAAGATCCAACCATTAACCATCACAATATGTGATCTATAAATAGGAGTGAGATTCTCTCCCCTCCTATTATTATCCCCTCCTCTCACATTATTTTTTTTTTGTTTTATTCTCTATATAAAAAATTCAAAACAAGATGTAGATGTGACATAATCGTAACTGTTTAAATAGAAGAGGATGAAAGGGAAGAGAGATTAGGAGATGAAAGAATTCTATTCCCTATAAATATGATTTGTCTAACAGTTTTAGTAATGAACAATCTAATATTCCATTAAGTAACAGTAATACACTTTAAGTAAGCAATCTCCAAAGTAAGCACATAACTTAAATGGATAATAAAAGATACAGAAAGCTGAGGAACCCAAGGCATGTGTTTTATCTCATAATTACACATCCCTAGACTAGACTGATAAGAAAGGTAAAGAGTTTTGTAGTAATTCTTTCTTTCTTCCTTAGATTCTTTTGTCATCTTCTCAATTTTTTTGTTTCGTTTTTTTCCTTCTCTCTCTTTACCAAAAACAATAAAAACAAAAGTTTGGTTTTTTTTTCTTTTAGAGTACCAACCCACATGACAAAGGTTCTGGTTGAATAATTTCTCCCACTTTAAAAGATGAATAATAAAGGCAAGTCCCATCTTCATATCAATCTCTTCGATCACTCACTGAGACTGAGCTTTCCAGTCATGTCTCTGATGGATGTTCTTGTTTCCACTGTAGAATCCTTCTGTTCCTCAGCTTTCTGTCCCATCCACTAAAATTCCAAAAGGAATGTGGGACTCATTGGTTCTGCTGCGAATCAACCAACTACCTTCTCTCTCTCTCTTTCTTCTTTTCACATCATCTCTCTTTCCCTAATCCGTGACTCGATTCTGGTAAATAACAAGAACCCAGAATTATAAAACTTATAAAAAGGTAGAAAAGTTAGAATCTCCCCCCACCCCAACATGTAAAACTCAATTCAAACCACAAGAACTAGGTTTTAAACTGCACCACCAAAAAGAAAGAACAAAAACTAACTTAAAAAGAGTATAGGGGTTGATTGATATTTTTTCATGGTGATTAGTCTTGGCCTTGTTATAACTGCCTCTTAGCTTCACCAAATGAAGTATTGTTGGTGTTGTGATCTCCTGACCAATTATCAAAGAGATTGAATGGATCTGAGGGCGCTGCATCCTTGCCTCCCTTTTGCTGCTGCTCATCCGCTGAGAAACATTGTGAAAACAAGAGGTTTAGTGGGTCAGCCTCAATTTCTCCTAAATCAGCAAAGAAGTCCTCAGGATGGTGAGACTGGTTGGACTGCTCGTTAGGCATTGATGGTCTATAAGCAAACCCTAAGTGCTGCTGATGATGATCAATCTCTAATTGCTTCTCAATGCCCTCAAATTCTTCCTTCACTGTTGAATTACTTCCAGCGGTGATAACTGTTGGAGACACATGGTTATCATCATTCATATTCTCATTTTGTTCTTCCTTTGTTGGGCTAGTTGGCTTTTGATGAGCCTGATGAGAGCTACTGGGAGAGACTTTCAAGGCGGCGGCGGCGCCGTTTTTGGATGGCTGGGATCTGGTTGAGCCAGCTAGGGCATTTCTCTGAGTAGGCCATGGATGATTGTGTTCAGAAGTGTAGGTGATTACCAACATGTTTGGATCCGTCCGGCTACGCTCTACTTGTTTTCTTGCTGGGCAACCCTTTGAGCTGCTACATCTGTAGTAGCCCCTGCAAGAAGTATCAAACAAATAAGCTGATTTAGTTAAGTTCAATGGAATTGATAATATATAGATGATTATTATGATTATAATGATGATTATGTTGATCAAATCTTTGATTATATTGTTTCCATCACATATCAACTAATAATCGCAGTGAAGGGTGCACTTTTATTTATTTAGTTCTCTTTAATTCTTTATTCTATCAAGTGCCATAAATAAATAAATATGTACTATACATGTAAAGAAAAAGTTGTACGAAAATCAGTTCTATAAAAGAAAATTTATGAGAGTGCGAAAAAACCTATTTTACCCTAGCCGAATTTTCCACTTCACTCCCTACTCAGACTAGTGACTCCTATAGTGCTACGAAATATGGGATAATCCAAACTTTTAAACCGTTAAATCTTTATTAAAAAATTATAGAAATTATGATCTAACGATTAAAATTCCAAAAGAATCTCATACTCCAAAGCACAAATTTTTTGATCGGACTAATATAAGGGCACTTCACTCGTAGTGCATTAAAACCCTACTTAGAATTTTGAATTAAATGGGTAGATATGATAAAAAAATGAGACACAACCCTTCATGGTTGTCAGTGAGATGTGCAATCCAAATCCTTAGTTTTACTTACATAAGAACTTTCTATTATATGCAATGTATTAAAAGGCGGGGGCGTGGCCGAGGCGTCCAATGGATAGCCCAGCGCCTCACGAAACCTAAAATTTTAATATATATTATATATAAGTATATTTATGACAATATAATACTTTGTAAAAACAAATATAACTATAACTAAATCAAAGATAATATTATCTTCTTTATTACTAGGTCTAGTTGTACTTGGAAACTATGTCATATAGTCTCAAAATGTTATAATTATTTATTTTATTGTGAGCAATTATAGAGAACTTCAAGGAAAATAAGGATGAATGGTCACAATTATAGGAAAATTTCAAGCAAAATAAAGGCTGAATGTTACAATTATAAGTAATTTAAAAGGAAATAAAGGCTGAGTGGAGTAGTATAGGGTATTTAAAATGATATAAAGCAATACTTATGGGAATTTAAAGGAAAATAAAAGTTTGAGTGGAGTATTTATAGGGTATTTAAAATAAAATAAATGGGGTGAAGTATTTATATGGTATTTAAAATGAAATAAATGGCGAAAATAAATGGTTGAGTGAAGTATTTATAAGGTATTTAAAATGAAATAAAGGCTAAGTGGAGTAATTATTATGAAAATTTATGGGATTTGGAGAGAGAAAGTCTCTCATTCTTCTTCGTTGAAACTAGAATGGCAGAAAACCTGGATTTTGAAGAAAAAAAAAGCCCAAATGAACGCCCTGAGGTGCGCCTCTACCACCCAGACGAGCTCCAGCAAAGCCTTCAACTCACTCCCTCAAAACAGAGGCAGGAACACTGACACCTAGCCTCAAAGGCCGCCTTGAGGCGAACCTTTTAAAACACTGATTATATGACAAGTGAATGTGAAACTCTTTTCTAGTATATAGAAAAATGATGACAAATGAAACTTACTAACCTTGGAAAAGGTGACCCTTTGATGGGTTTCTGACCGTACTTTCTCCATGCCCACAGATCAGACGGAACTACTTCTCCAGTAGGCCTGCTGTTTGCAGCCGCTGGCGCTGGAATGCACACCACCTTCTTTGCCTGGCTCTTCCTGCTCATATAGATAATTAAGTATGATTAAATGTCTTACGTAAAAGTTAAACACACTATTTAAATTAGATTGGTGGGAGCGAATGAAATATCTCATTTTCTATCCCTGTTTTTTGTTGAAATTGAAAGGATGAAGTAATAGATGGTATATTCCAAAGGAGACCAATACCAATCGAAAAGCAGTGATCGATCCTTTCAGGCGGTGTGGATTGGGGTAGAAAAGTAGTTCCCAGATATATAAAAGATGAAAGCTAAGTGTGTGATTGTTATTGTGACACAAAGCAAAGCCCCATACCTTTTCGAGGTTTGATTAAACCCCAAAAAGACAAAGATGCATATCGTGTTTAGGTATCTATATGCTAGTTAGTAATGTTGGCATTTATCAATCTCACCTGGAAAACAGTCCTAGAGAGCTACTCCCTCTTCAAGACTGAAGACTTTAGAGCTAGTCAAACCTAAGAATATTGATATATTTTCTTTTATACAAGCAATAGTCAATCAAAATTTATCTAAATTACAGGAAAAGGGACCCAGACTTGAGTGCAGGAAGAGCATATACATAAATGTATATGTTTTTTTTATGCATATATATCGCTCTAACTAACTTGACTGCACCCTAAATCCTATTTGTATTAATAACAAATGCTTTAAATAACAAACCCTATTCTTAGATCTTCACCATGTATAAATCAAAACCCAAGTTGCATAAAGGCACTTTGTCATCAGGTTGTTGATCTATAAAATGATGATGATGATGATACTGATAATGTAAACTTAACTACTAATCAGGATTAATTTATATAGCAGAAATTAAGTACTAATTAGAATAATTAATTCATGGAATCATGGTCAAGTTGTAAGAAATATTAAATGCTCTCTCATGGGTCCTCACCTTCGCTTGATCCCCGGATTCCGTGGAGATGAGATCTGCATCCCGGTGTTCGCGAGCAAGCAACCTTTTGCTGCTGATGAGCTGTTCGCATTAATAATCATGTCGCTTGCAATCATGGCAGCAGAATCTGGTGAGGTTTTTATCCCCCTAGGAGACGACGACACTGCTCCACCGATCACCGGCGAATCACACGGCGACATGGGTACCTTTGCACTTGGAGAGATCTGTAGCATCTGTGAGAATATGTTGCAAGGCCTCTTTATTGGATCACCATCAACCACAACAACACCACTTTGATGGTTGTGATGCCCAAGACTAAGTACATGATGACCGCCACCGCCACCGCCACCGCCACCAAAAGTAGTAGTTGTGACACCTTCCTCCACACGAGCTGTACAACTGGGGCTGCTGAAAAGGCTGGAGCTTGATATGTCTAGCTCGTTAAGAAGCGGATCGCGCATGTACGACGAAAATGGATCGCCAAAGTTGTCCTTAGCTTCTTCTTCTTCCATGGCTGATGAAGATGATGGAAATATCATGGGATGATCAGATGGGAAGTGCCACGTGTCGGCGTGAGGTTCTTGATGATCAGACGGATAAGCTCCAACGTTAGCAGTAGTTGTACCAGCTCTTAGTATGTCGGTTAAATCACCTTGATAATTCTCCATCCTAGTAATTGGCACGAACAAGCTGCACATGATATATGTACACTCTTAAGGCAAAAGCTGCAGCTTCAAGTTCAAGTATGTTATTTGAACCCTATTGTAGTAGTATTGGGAGGTTAAATCTGCTCCAAAAGAGAACTACAAGGCATGCAATTCTTGGCCTTCGTATTTGGGTGGCTTCTAATTTAATTAAGTAGATGGAGGAAGTTAAGATTTCACCGTAAAACCAAAGAAAAATACGCAACAGATTGAAATGTGAAAAAAAAGGGTTTTGATTATTAGGAGCAGGAGAGCAAAGATGTGGTTTTAGAAGGCTGATGTTGGATTCTTTTGTTCTTCTCAAAAACAAAGTTATGATGAGGGAGAGAATTGTTGGGAACGAAGCAATGGAAGAGATCAAGACTCGAGAGGGAGCTGACTTTTCATACAAAAGAGCTCTTCTCCATACGCAACAAAGGAAAGATAGAGAGAGAGAGAGTTTAATATGAAATTGCTGAATAACTAATGATAAATTAATTATCATTGAGCTAACTGTAGTGCTTGTTTTTTATTTGTTAATTTAATATCATGTATATTTTCTCTGTCATAAAAATAAAAGAAAGACCTTTGCCAAAAAAATAAAAAAAATCCCTTCCTTTGTGTCAGAAACAAGTGATAGGAAAGTAAAGAGGCGGCAAGTAGCCGCATTTCTCGGAGGAACGTTTCCAAACTTGAACAACTATTCTTCGTTTCTTTCAACTTTGAGTTGCCTTCATTCTTCTTTTGTTGATTTGCCCCCTAAATTTGTTTGGAAATGTCAAGTTTCTCCTTAAATTTTAATTTTAGCCGATTATCCTAACTGAATTTTTTTTAATTAGTCAATTTTTCCTTTTAACTTTAATTAGCCAATTCCCCCTGAACTATTATGATTAGCCAATTCCCCCATTGGCGTTAGATTTTATAGTTGTTTCATTCTTTTTGCCCTCATATAGTTGTTTCCGTGATCAAGATTGATGAAATTTTTAAAAATCTAACGTTAGGGGGAAATTGGCTATTTATAAAAGTTCATGGGGATAATTGGCTAAAATTAAAGTTCAATGGGGAAATTGGCTAAGTATAAAAGTTCAAGGGGTAATCAGCTAAAATTAAAGTTCATGGGGGAATTGGCAACTCCATACAAGTTCAGGGGGCAAATCAACAAATATGCCATCTATCTTTGATGGTGATCATGTGGTGCTTATTAGGACTCGCCCAACCCTCAAAGAAATGAGGAGAAATTAGACTCTCTTAAAGTGAGACTCTTCAAGAACTCTTTGTCACCTTACATTTTAATGTTAACTTCCATGCCAACATTATAAAACATTGTGTAAAAAATATGAGGTGGCAGAAAATCCCACTTTTGAGAGTCTCCTAATTAGCATTGCTCAAGAGGTGGTAGAAAGTTCATAGAGAGTCCCACTTTTAAGAGTCTCTTTAGCATTTCTCAAGAAACGAGTTTACGGGGGAAATGTTGTATTGTCTTGTCTTGTAAGCATATCTTATAATTACACTTACACACTATCATTGAAGGGTTTAAGTGCATGTAAGCTATATCCCCACATACTCGAGAATTCAACTATTACATTAGGGTTTAATACATTTTAGACCTCTTCATTCATTATACATTTATTTTTAAATGAGTTCTTAACTAGTTGGTAGTACTCATGTGACCTTTATACAAATTATATCACATGCAATTTGTGGATGCAAATTTCTTCCTCCTCGATCTTGGACGATTTTGCACCTACAAAACAATTAACACCTTAGGTTAAAGCCAAGAGCCTCACGGGCCCACGATGAATGGGGGGGGCTTTGGCCGAAGAACCTCCGATGCCAAAGTTAGAATTTAGGGAGAAAGAGTGTTTAGAGAATTTTGGGATTTTTGCCAAAGTGTTGGAATTAGCTTTTTGGTGAGAATGGGAGTATATTTATAGGGATAGGAGGTGGCTAGGGTTTTTAGGTTTAATTTAGGTTTAATTAGCCAATTTATTTGGCTATTAAACATAAGATGAAATGTTTTGGTGGTTTTTTGAATTTATTGGGTAATAAAAAGGAAGAAATGGTGAAAAAGGTAGAAAAAAGTGATGGATTAGGTTTTGAAATGGGGATAGCCGGCCATGTGGTGTTTTAGGGTTAAATTGGATGTATTTTGTAGTTATTTGGATATAATGGATGGTTTAATTGACAATTAATGGGTTAATTAGGCAATAAACCCATTAATTAGCCAATTAACATAATTTAAAAGGAATGTGTTTGGGAATTACCTTGTAGAAAGGATTTGATGAGATGGACTTTGAATTGTTACCTATTTTGGGCACTTCTGTCTTGGTTGAAAGAGGGTTGCCCGCTGCTTGCGCGTAGGAACCTCGTTGTACTGCAAGGGTATTTTTGTCATTTTTGTCCAAAAATCCACGTGTCGCCCTGTGAATATTTTTGGCTCCACACAATTTGTTTTTTTTTTTTTTTTTTTTTTTTAGTGATTGTGATCGCTATCTTGTTTTGTTGAGTAAGAGTTGATCCGTACACGTAGCAAAGAACTATGAGGAGGAAGCTTGTTGAACATGTTTTATTACAATTAATTGTTTTTTTTTTTTTAAGAACAATGACGAGTTACCTTTTTAAATCGAAAGAAAAACATCAATATATGGTATAATGGTAATATCGAAATTATTGTTACTACTACATCATGACCTTTTAAATGTTAATCCCACAGGGCTATAAACAATACAATTTAAAGAGGATGCTGTTGATAAATTTCAGGAGGTCTTCAAATCAAATAGCCTTCAACGTAATAGATAGCCAAACCAAGATGGAGCTATTCCTGCCACCGAGGTGGAGCCTCTCCTGCCATAAAAATGCCACGCCTATGTGGTTCAAACTTGAGGGTTTCCTTTGCATTTCTCAACTGTTTCAGAAGCCAATCTAATTTCCAGAAAAGTTGTAGTTGTTCTTGGCAACGACTTTAAAGTTCATCTTCATTCCACAATATAAAACTTCATATGCGGCTTTTGAAGAATCAGCTGAATTAATCAAGGACTCTCGAGTATGATTAATCAGTTAATCTTTTTTCAAATAAAGACAAAAAGTATGATTAGCGTTTTGAAAAGGTGATTATGATGAAACTGAGACATATAAACTGAGCTCTACTATAAAATGTTGGAATGATGAAGGACAAGATTAGGATTAGAATCGTAATGAAGTATGTTTATTATAAGGTTAATTTGATTCTATATGTATCTGTTGTAATAGGTCAGATAAAGTGCCTTCTGTTTGGTCCAAAAGTTGGGTTCCTTTTTGGAGTCTTGTAAGACCACTTCAAAGATCAAAAATGGTGCTAAGCAAGTAACATAATAAGTATGTATCATATGGATTAATATCACGTTTGATTAGACATGTTTTTGGGTTAAGGACTTCTCCACCAAAAGAAAAGGTTTGGTGACAAATATAATGGGAGGAGATCCAGTCCAAAGCTCAGGGATTAAGTGATTCAGGTTTTTGAAATTTGATCAAACAACTAAAAACAAAAAAATTAGTAAAAATTTTAAAAAATTATAATAATTTTTTACCGTTTAATCAAATTTCAAAAACTCATATAACTTGGTTCCTGGGCTTTAAAGAGAGGGACTCGGATAAGATTTCTTTCCAAATATAATGGACTAACGACATCATTGAGGCCATCACCGTCCTCATATGTGATTGATTAGACATTTTCAGAATCTACCAAAGGTAAAGGTAGCCGGCTCTCTCTCTCTCTCTCTTTCTCTCTCTCTCTCAAGGGCACTTGGAGGTTTTTGGCTTTTGAATCTTTTTAGGATAATGTTATTTACACATTTATTTTTATCTTTCATATACTTTTATGTTTTAGTCATTATTATTTTTCAATCTATTCAATACGAGAACTTAAAATTGAAAAATATATAAGAGGTAAAAATAATTAAGTGTCTAGATAGCATTATCCTTCTTTATAACGTCACTTTTGCCATCCGTATTTCTTATTACTTTCCTTTCTATATCTCTTGTGGCACATATTCACACTGTGTCACTCACTACCATAGGAGGTGGAACTAAAATTTGAATTCGACCGACAAGTCTATTTGTCAACCTAACAAGTGGTAGAGCCGTAGAGGGTTAGTTATTCACACAATCACAAGATACAATTGATAGTGGTTGATGGATGTGAATCACACGGTGAGTATTACATCAATTGATAATTTACAGTGTGCACAAATAGGTCTCAAATCAGCTAATTCAATCATTCAAAGTCATTGATACGTGTTGAATGACTATTGACATTGATTGATGGATGTGAATCTCACGGTAATTCACAAATTCACACCTTACACTCACAAGTCTCAAACTAACTAATTCAATGATTCAAAATCATTCTTATGTACGTGGTGAACGATTATTTTGACAAAAATTAATTCTTCCCGACTTAACAAATCACCACATTAAGTAAGTGCTACTGGCTTGGCCAACCTGTTGTAATTTTATATCAATAAGCAGCTAGGTAGCTAAGAACCCAAAATTTACGATCATGATCAAATTGGTCATGAAATGCTTAAACTTCTTAAAAAATAAGACCCCAACTGACTTCTAAGGACCAGTTCAACTCGGCACCCTAAAAACAAAAGGGTCTTAATTAAGATTTAAGTAATCCAATCTATAAAATCCCTATAGTTTTAATTTGCTAAGTCATTACATATTGACTGGCTTTCAGACAAACGCTTGCCCCACGTTCTTGCATGACAAGCTCTCCCACTCCCTCCCACAAGAGAACAAAATTAAACTGGGATTCTCTGCGCAGTTCTCTACTGGGTTTTTGTCTTCCCACAAGAATCCCTAGGCCATGTGAAGCCGGCACATAATTAACTATTATAATTATACAAAATTCAACAAAACTTTGTTTATATGTTTGGTTTAATAACACCATATTATATGTCACACATGTAATATATAATTTAAGCATCGGTCCATGACTCATTAGGTTTTTTTTTTTTTTTTTTTTATTCCAGCCTTCCAAGCTTACGAATGTACCTCTAGTTAAATTATGCAAAAAATGAGGTGTCCTTAGTACAATTTTATAATAATTCCATATGTTTCAGTCCTAATTATGATAACGTTTTGCTGATTTGTACACATGACACTCTGACATGAAAATGCTACAAATATCAAATTTGTACACTACTCAAATGATGCAGATAAAATTTTAAAATTTTAGCTTTTTTTAATGATTTAAAAAAGAAATCTAAGTATCAACAGTCACATCATATAATCTACACAAAAAATATTATAAAATTTTGGATCTCTCTAGCTGACATTATTTGGTTATGCATTTCCACACCTTTCAACGTCACCAAACCAGCCTACCGCCAACCTCACCGGTGTGTACCTGAACCGACTACAAAAATTCGATAAATATATAGTGCCCATCCATTATCCTCTACATGGATGGCTGTGATTTAC